AGAGAGAGAGAGAGAGAGAGAGAGAGAGAGAGAGAGAGAGAGAGAGAGAGAGAGAGAACCGACAGGCAGACAAACAGAGGCAACAGACAGAGGGAACCGCGGACAAGCAGACAGACGAACCAAAAGATTGGCTGACAGAGAGACAGAGATGGAGAGATTTATCTAGAGAGGGGGAGAGAAATAGGGAGAGAGACAAGCGAAGGAAAAGAACGTCAGAAATTGAGGGAGAGAGAGAGAGAAGGAGAGAAGCAGAGAAGGAGAGAGAGGGGGAGGGAGAGAGGGAGAGAGGGAGAGAGGGAGACAGACAGACAGACAGACAGACAGACAGACAGATAACTAGAGAGATATACAAAGAAAAAGACAGACGAGTGGACAAACTGAAAAACAGACAGGCAGAAAGAATGGAGCATTTCGAGTTCAGTATCTTCTCTGCCTGTCCCTCTGTCTGTCTGTTTTTCAGTTTGTCCATATGTCTGTCTTCTTCTTTGTCCATCTATCTGTATGCATATCTGTCTATTTGTCTGTCTGTCTGTCTGTCTGTCTGTCTCTCTCTCTCTCTCTCTATCTATCTATCTATTTTATCTGTAAGAAAAAACAGACCTTCTGGACTAGGCTGGCATCTTCATCCTTGGATTGCATGAGGCAGAGAGGACAAACCTGGAGATCACAGTATGGTCCAGGAGGTCCACCTTATTCTGCACCAGGACCATGGCAATGTCCCCGCACTCATTCTCCACCTGCCATCAGGGCACGCAGCAAGCCAAAGCCAGTTCACGCTTTTCTCCGACCATGTCACACCCAAAGCCAGAAGTTATCAGAGAGTGTAAAAACTTTCAAACTTCAGTCTGAATTTGGAAACCAGATGAAAAAAACTCCGTGGCCTTCACAAAATCAAAACCAGTCCAAATCATTTTATTTTTATTTTAAAAAAATTTATTATCATAATTTTTTTTTTTTTTGGAGAAACATAGTACTTTTCATTCCAAATGAGACCACCGGGGCCCAGGAACACACCCCTACATATCAACCCAGTACAAACTTGCTGAGGTCATTACTCAGCTTAGGCTCCTGGAAACCGGGTCCAGTGTCCCTTAGAGGAATCTCCAAAAAAGGGAAAAAATGCAAAGCAAATCTGTGACCGTACAGTATCCTTGCTACTCAGGAAAACAGCGGCATGTTTCTAAAACCGAAACACTATTGGCAAAGAACTATAAGCTATATACTGCAAATCTCGAGAAAGCCCGAGGAAATTCGCAAAAATTTACAAATCAACCCTAAGATTACTTCCAAGATCATGCTGAATTCTTAGATACAATTTATCATACAAATCAATTCTAAAATTATGTCCAAATATGTGCTAAATTCTTAGGTCGTAACTAGATATTGAAACCGGGCACATTAATATTGTCAACAGAAAAATGGATGACTGAAAACAGCCCAGAGAACGGCCACATATAGAGAGTCCAAGGGAATTCAAGGAGAGGAAGAGATGGGTAATACGAGTGGGGAAGATAGGGGCCGGATTTTCCAGAATGGCACAAGGTTGAGCGTAGGACACTCCCCTCACCACTCAAGGCATGGGTGACGCTGTGTCACTGTTCCTGCTCTTGGAGATCAGCCACTCTTAGAAAGTGAATGTGCTGTGTCTTCAAACGCGGTTATGGCTGGGAAATGTTTTACCCTTTGCGCCCGGGAAATGTTCCCACCGCCACTAGTGAGTCTCCCACTCCCGCTGATGGCGCCGCCGCCCATAGGACTTTAGGGTGTTACGTACCCAGCTAAGGTCTCGTCCCTTCAACATGTTGATTTCCCAGATTCTGCCATAAGTATGTAAGTGCTGAAGATGTGAGCAGGAGTTCCCAGGATGACCACAGGTCGAGCGTAGAACACTCCCCACGCCACTTAAGGCATGGGTGACCCTGCATCGCTGTTTCCTGCGCTTGAAGAGCAAACACTTTCAGAAAATAAACTTCAGTGTGTCTCTGTAGGCAGAATGTTGAACCCTTTCTAATATCAACTATTCGTGGTTGATTATCTACATACTTGGCTCTCACTCAAAATATAACAAGCATACTTGCAAGCGGACGCCGTCCGGGCGGTTCCGCACGCGCGGCAGACTGCCGGACCGGACCCGCGCGGCGCACGAATGTGTGCCCGACGACCAGTTATGCCCCATCCCCCCCCCCAAAAAAAAAAACGGCCCCGTCCGGTCCGGGGGGAGGGTGCCACACGCGGCAAAGCGGACCGGACCGGACGCTCGTCCGGTCCGTCTGCTTGCAAGTATGATAACGAGTCTAAAAGCAACCTTGTTTGTAAGTTGTGTAACCATTCACAGGCACTGTGGCCAAAGAGGACCAAATTAAGTGAGAAAACAGAACATGAGGTAAATGCACTGAGGATGTAGGAAGACGATCTAGCAGTTATATTCGAGTACCTCAGCACAGATTATAACCTATTTCCTTCAGCTGGCGCAGCCCGACGACAAGCACCGCCCGACAAGATTAGAGCAGAAGAGGCTGTCGGCACGACCCATATCAGACAACTGTGCAACTATATGGCATAAGGAAGAATAAAAGCTCATTTCAAAGGGCTAGTATCTCTAATTCTACGAAATTAACCAACAGACCGGCTGAGTGCCAAACATAAGAACTCAAACCCATGAATTTACAAGACCAGGAAACTGACCCCGAAATTTTCACTTGAAAAGGCTAGCACTCCCGTTCTTGGAGTTGCTGACGCGGTCCCACCATTACTGCACGCCCTCCCACTGCCCACAGCAATGCCGCCCCATTAATTCTATGTAGCCCCAGGCTCTCCAGGAAATAGTAAATGCATTGAGCCGAAGACATGGCCAGATGCTGTTCGTTAGTTGAAGCCAGCGTAATGAATCCCCCTGTGTCATGGATATTGTCGACGGCACTCCCACTGCCAATACAAGCTCTCCCACTGCTTGCAGAGACGCGATTGCCATCTCAACAGTCCGGACAGTCAGGACTAGTCTCCTCCGTGGCTCTCCAAAATCCAGGTATAACTTCGTTGTAGACTCCCCAGCATCCATGTGTCACTTCGGTATAGGCCCTCCCGAAACTGCCAAAGCAGTCGAGAGTCGTGTCATTGAGTTTGTCGGTGAAGAGGTAGAATGATAGGCATGTAGGCATTTACCAGGGCCGCTCAGGATACTCCTCCACTGAGCGCAGAGGCGCTCCCTCCCCCACTCAAGGAAGAGGTGGTGACGGGGCATGTCTCTCACCAGCTACGAACTACCATAGCCGATGGCCTGGCAGGGTGGGAGGCTTGTATAATGAAGACAACTCTGGCACAACGCGCCGCCCCACTCAGCCGGGAGAACTACGTGCTGCCTGACGAAGCAGGCATGTTAGTGCCCGAAAACAGTGCGCTAACTGCCGCACGTTCCGGCGCTAACGAAGCGCATCCTCCGACCCCCCTCCAAATCATTTCGGATTGATTCGTGCGCAAAAAAAATAAATAAAAAAATCCACGATCATGTCCGGCATGCTTCAGCTTTGGACACTGTGACATGGCTGTTGTGGCTAAGAGACTTGGTTCTTGTGGCTGGGGGTGCCAGTTCAATTCCGGGTGCGCACCAATAGACCTACGGTCAGGAAGCGAGGATCCATAACTACGGCGACACTTCAATTATCCAAATTAGAAGAAACCAAAGAACTAAGTTACTATCACCACAAGTGTACTCTCCTTTTTCCCGCATGTATCTGACAGCAATTACAGCCCGCGACGGATGTATATGGCCACAATCACGCCCAGAGTCAATTTATTTTATTTTTTTGTGTGTGGGGGGGTTCTTTTTACTTCTTTTCTAAACATTTCAGACTTCTCTTAGTTCTCTATCATTTTTCTTTTCTTTTTTAAATTTAAATACATTTCCAATCCCTCCTTTTTCTGCCTGAGCCTCCGAGGCCCTTGTACACAAGACAGGAAAGTCGACAGAAGACTCAGAACCTACTGCAATTTTTGAATTTTTTCATTATATTTAAAAAAATCAAACTTCCATCTGTTAAAATTGGAACGACACAGAGAAGATTAGCATGGCCCCACAAGGATGACACGCAAAAAACAAAACAAAACAAAAAAAACCTTCGTCAAAGTTGATCTTGATCAAACAGTATTTTTCCTTTTCTTTTTAAATTTAAACCACCAGCACATGGCCCCAGCCAAGTTGAGAATCCGATTGAGAAATTTCAAGTTCCGGTGGCTCGGGACAGGGCGTCCAAAGGGCCAGAAGAAGAAAAACAAATTGTCCCATGCCGTGGGGTGGCACTAGACCCAGCCCTGAGCCAAAAAAAAAAAATCCGCCCGCCCCCACATGGGCCCTGTCCCCAGTCCCCTAACTTTTCGGAGGTGCTCATTCACAACCGAATTCTCCAGATGTACTGGGTCTGGGTTCAACCGCAACTCCAGCGCGAAGTCTGGAGGCTGCCGCCAGAGCACACTCGGGCAGGACGCTGCATGGTGTGAGCGCTGTTGCTCAGTGAGCAGGAGGCAGTGCCCGAAGAAAAAGAGCAGCTGCTGTCGCACAAAAAAAAAAAAAAAAAAGAGCAGCCATGACCAAGTTTGGGTTTTGCGGCCTGAGAGGCTGCTAGGAGGGCCTCCCCCACTCCTCGCCTTTCCTGAGGCTCTTCTGATGCGTGACTGGGTGCTGCCAGTAAGCTTCCCGGTCAGCAGAGCCCCCCCCAGCAAGGCTATGGTCTGGGGGGAGGTCGGCTCGTAGCAGCCCCCCCCTTGAGCAGGTGACTCGTACTGCAAGGGTTGGGCTGAGTCTCCTTTACTTTCCTCTTCTCGTTGTTTCTTGTACTCTTGCTTGCGGGTAACAAGTAACCAGACTGATGCCCCCCAGAATAGACGGGGCTTGTGTGATGCGGGGAACAACGACAACAACAATGACAACAACAACGACGACCACAACGATGACCACAACGACGACCGCAACAATGATAACAACAACGACGACCACAGCGATGACCACAGCGACGACCACAACAACGACAACAACAACAACGACCACAACGATGACCACAACGACGACCACAACAACGACGACCACAGCGATGACCACAACGACAACCACAACGACGATCACAACAACGACAACGACAACGACGACCACAACAACCAACCACAATAACCGACAACGACAACCGACAACAACAACCGACAACAACAACCGACAACAACGACAACAACAACGACAACATGATGAGCAAGCACCATTGCTAAATGGTTCTCAATAAACTGATCATCAGTTCAAATCCCGAAGATCGCCGTCCAAATGCAAAGATCATCATTTCCGATCCCGAAGATTGGCAGTTCGAATCCGAAAGATCGCCACTTCAAATCCTAAAGTAAATGGATTTAATCAGTTTCAAATTTCAATGTATTTAAAGTTTTAAGCCACCACTACCTTTCAGAGGCAAACTCGAAACACCGATATTGCCTGCACCGCATTCTTTGGGTGAACAGTGCTACCAGACCAAGATGGCTGGCGGCGCCAGTCAAAAAAAAAGAAAAACGCTGAGCTGGCACTTCGGCGAAGCTTGGTGTGCAGTTATTTTCCGCCTCAGCAAAAAGAGGCTCCAAGGTCGTGGTGGTTTGAACCCCTGTAAACCCGGGCCTGCACTGCTCACCAAGCTTTTCCGAACCGCCAGCAGTGCACTTTTGTTCTTTTTTGGCTGGTGCCTCCAGGCATTGTGGTCTGTTAGGCCCAAGCCACAGAATTTCCGGAGTAGGTGACAAACACTTTTCTACGAGGCTGGGTCCGCGTGCTGGCGGTTTAAGCGGTGCTTCCCGTCGAACTTATGAAAAAAAGAGAAACGAAAAAGAAACATCACCAGCCAGCAATCAGTAGTCGCTTTGAGAATCTGGATTGGGTGTCTTACTTTCTCTTTCCATCTTGGGATGGACTCAAATGAAGCTCGATCAACGGTCGAGAACGTCAACACTGCAGCTCCAGCACCTGCAGAGCACATTTGACATCAATATGGATTTATAATATTTTATACATATGTATATAAGAAAATATATATAACATATAAAAAATATATAAAATATAAATTATTATAAATATACACATATAAATATATATATAAAGGGGGAAGTAAAAGAGGAAATCATCAAAAGAATGGTTTCAATGTGCTCTTCATGTTTGTCTTCTGTGTTTTTATTGTTTGTTTAAGAAAGTGCGCCCTATTTTTTTTAAATATAAGGTTGTGTGGGATGGGGGACACTGGGACAGTGCTTGAGGGAGGGTGTTCGACAGGAGGGTGGACGCGCTGAGTTCACCCCACCTGCCGGCGGAGTCAGCCCACCCACAACACAAACGAGACACTCAAGCACGGCTCTCAGCCTCGACTAACATGCACGAGGGAGTATCGACGCTGGATCAGCGCTTCCCTGATGGCTACGCCGGGGCTCTCCATGATCGAACTCAGACACATGCTCAAATCCTTCTAGGCTGACCTGCCGGGACCCCGAGGCAGTTCCCCCACCACTGTCGCCTGTCAACACCAGGGCCGCTAGCTCACGCCTGTTAGGAAAGCAGAGTGTCCCTCGGACCCTCGCTCCTCCCCCAACTGTTCCGCACTGAGCCCGCCTCCTCCCCCCTGACAGCCCACTAAGACCCGCACAACCTGGGTGCGCTCTTTTGCTTGATAGATATGCAACAATACGTAAATACTAAATATACACCACAGCGTAATCACAGCCATTATGACAAAAATGGCCAGGAAAAACGAACTGCAGTGAATTGCCAATATCCAGTCACAAACAGCAGGCTCTCTCTCTCTCTCTCTCTCTCTCTCTCTCTCTCTCTCTCTCTCTCTCTCTCTCTCTCTCTCTCTCTC